AGTTTTGTGTCCATTGGTTGTACTTATATGCATGTATACAAGTCCTTTGGTTGATCTCAATAATAACTCTTGTAATCAGAATTTCAGCATTGGAACTTACAAGGAAATTGACTATATTTCTTATTTTTATTGGGTTGAGACTCTGGAGTGATCCTTTATAATTATACAATATTCATATAATACCATATGTCATATCTGTTCATAAATAAAATTTAACAAACGAATCACTTGACTAATGTGCTATTTTATTGCTTTTCCAGAGTTAATTTTTGTTGTTAATCCTCACCCGAGGATATTTTTCCATTGATTTTTAGAGTGGGATAGAGGGGGAGAGACACAGAGAGAGAAACATCGATGTGAGAGAGATACATCAATTGGTTGCCTCCCACACAGTCTGGAGCAGGGCTGGGGATTGAGCCTGAAATCTAGGTATATACCCTTGACTGGAATCGAACCAGGACCCTTCAGTCCTGGGCTGATGGTCTATCCACTGAGCCAAACCACCTGGGGCCAGAGTTAATTTTAATGAAACTGGTCATTACACTGTTGGTGCCATAGGCCCTCATTGTACTAACATTATCATTACATTTGCATAATAAAAACTTAACTAAATTACTTTAATCAACATTTAAAAATCAGGGATGAGACTTTAACATAGGTTTTGAGGGGTTTTTATTGTTGCTATTTTGGTTTTAAAAAAATCCATGGCAGACCCTAAGGATTCAGGGGTCCCAGGGTTGATTCTAGTCAGGGCATGTACCTTGGTTGCGAGCATATCCCCGGTGGGGGGGGTGGGGGGGGAAGCAGCTGATTGATGTTTCTCATCGCTGTTTCTGACCCTCTGTCCCTCTCCCTTCCTCTCTGTAAAAAAAAATCAATAAAATGTATATATATATTTTTAAATCCATGGCAGTTTAAGTGTAGGGAAAACATAGTAAGGTCTAACTTTCTGAAATGGCAGAGACTTGAAGGGATAGGATGAGTGGGCAGGACCTGCTGAGGGTGGAACTGATCTGATTTGGAAATCTGATGTTACAAATCGGACGGCGCAGGGACCAGATGCAGACTGCAGAAAAGCCTGGCTTGGCTCGTACAGTGTTTTCAAAATGCGTGATGTTGTCTGCCAAGTCATCTGGTCCCCTCCTCCCGATGGCCTACTCCCAGCAGCTTCCTCATTGACTTTGCCTGCTTGGCCCTGGTAAGCTGTTAAGTGTCTGGAGAACAGTAACATCACATCGCTAAATGAAACATGGAACTTGGGAGGGAAAGAGGTGAGAATGGAGATTGTAAAGGATACATGGAATTTGAAAGGCAGCTGAGTCCACTGAGGGTGGAAGCCGGGGATACAGGCAGGACTGTGCACATCAGGTTGAGAGCTGGGATTCTGAACAGACCAAATACAAGAAGCTGGAGACAAAACGTGGAGCATCACTCACACTTAAGGCCTGTAGGTCACCAGAACCCCAATGAAGGGAAAGAAGCTGCCCTAAGAGAAACAGGGCAGAGCAAGGCTATGGAGGGCCAGGAAAGAGAGAACTTCAAGGGCAAGGGAGTGAACTGCACCTAGAGGGAAGGGACAGGATGGAGGGGAGCGGGGTCTGCTAGATTTGGTGCTGAGGCTGCTGACACCATCAATGAGCCAGTTCAGCCGAGAAAACAAGGTAAGATTCCAGACGTAAAGGAGCAGATGTAGTTGTAGGTGGACACAGCTACTCTTTTGAGATGGTTGGTAGAGCCCTAGCTGCTTTGGCTCAGTGGATAGAGCATCTCCCTGTGGACTGGAAAGTCTTGGGTTCATGGGTTTAATTCCTGCCAAGGGCACATGCCCGGGTTGCAGGCTTGATCCCTGGTAGGGGACATGCAGGCGGCAGCCGATTAATGATTCTCTCTCATCATTGATGTTTCTCTCTCTCCCTCTCTGAAATCAATAAAAAATATATTTTAAAAAGCGATGGCTGACAGAGGTAAGGAGCCGGAACACCATTCAGTGATATGTAGGATGGAGGATCTCGGGGATCTGGTATTTTGAAAAAAGAAAAAAGCCAATGGGAAGGGAGCAGGCTCTATAGGAAGTAGGAGGGGATGGGCACAAGTGGAAGAGGTAGCTCTGGAAATATTTTCAAATATTGAGGAATGTTAAGGGGGTGCTGGTTGGATGGCCTACAATGTGTTAGGCGAGATCAGCAGTTACAGCCGTTCAATTTTGAGCTTTAGGAAAGAAGAAAAAGGTCTGGGATAGTAGACATAAGTAATGTGGTGCGGGCTATTCAGGAAGGCAGGACAGGCTTGCTAAGTAGCAAGGAAAGCTCAGCTGAGATTAGCAAGCATGAACTAGGGTTCAAACTGCCATATTTTGTGAGTTTATTATCTATTAGAGGCCTGGTGCACAAAATTAGTGCACTGCAGGTGGGGGGGCTGGGGGTCCCTTAGCCCGGCCTGCACCCTCTCACAGTCCGGGACCCCTTAGGGATGTCTGACTGATGGCTTAGGGGGGATTGGGCCTAAGCTGGCAGTCAGACATCCCTCTGACAGTCAGGGGCTCTTGCAGTCCGGGACCCCTCACTCCTTACCACCCACCTGCATCAGAGGCAGGAGAGGCTTCCAACACCACCACTGCACTCGCCAGCCATGAGCCCAGCTTCTGGCTGAGCGATGCTCCCACTGTGGGAGCGTACTGACCACCAGGGGCAGCTCCAGCATTGTCTGCCCCTGGTGGTCAGTGTGCATCATAGCAACTGGTCACTCTGCCGTTTGGTCAATTTGCATATTAGGGTTTTATTATATAGGATTACAAACTGCAGATTTGCAGAAGGTTCATTTTTCTAGATGTAGTTACCTTTCTTACAAAAATGATCATTCCACACATATGAATTGCAAGCCTATTAGTACCACAAGCAGGGTCTCTCCTGCAGTATACTTGGTGTTAAACTGTCAGTGTTCAGGGACATAATCTTGGGATACCAATCATATTGATAGTTTCTAATGTGAAGACATGGTTGAGAATTTCATTACAAAATATTTATCTTTTATTATTAGGATTATTTCTCCTAAGCAACTGACTCTCCCCCTCCCCCTTCTTTTTCTTTGTGCATGTTGTAAATTGTGAAACTGACTAGGATCCTTTTTCAAGTCAGCTAATAGAGGGGGGAAATTCTGGCTTAATGTCAGACTAAGGAATAGGGCTCAGCAGGCTATACTTTTCTTCTTTTTTAAATCCTCACTCGAGGATGTTTTTATTGATTTAAAGATAGAGGAAGGGGGAGAAACATCAATCGATTGCCTCCCAAACCAGGGATTAAACCCACAACCTAGCTATGTGCCCTGACCAGGAACTGAACCCACAATATTTTGGTGAACAGGACGATGCTCCAACTGAGTCACTGAGCCAGGACAGCAGGCCACACTTTCATTGACCACTTTTCTGCCTCCATTTTGTGATTCTCCTGTTCCTCCTCCTCTTTAGTTATCTTATTACAGTTCACATATCCTAGAAATTACTTTAAACCCTTTTTGGAACAAAATAGAACATATAAATATTAAATATATAAATGCTTTAAGGTACTTCAAACACATTAATAATTGTGGCAATTATTAAATATAAAGCAATTAGTTACAGGCCATTAGACCCAAAAAAGCTTTTTTAAAATCTTTCAACTAGCCATTTAAGAATAATGAGTGGTATAGAGCAGAAAGCCACGTTAGTAACCTTAATCATAGCAAAATGAGTGGAAAATTGAGCTGGATCTTGTCTCCATGCCCTCTTCCCTAGACAGCCATTTAATGTCTATGTCATGTTACATATAATACCACATGGTCATAGAAAACACCATTAAAAAAAATAGACTAACTAGATGTTTGCTTCAATTTCTTTTATTTTACTTTATTTTGGGGGGGAGAGAGAGAGGAAGGGAGAAACATTGATTTGTTATCCCACTTATTTATGTATTCACTAGTTGATTCTTGCATGTGCTCTGACCCAGGATCAAACCCACAACCTTGGCATACAGGGTTACACTTGAACCAAATGAGCGACCCTGCCAGGGCTGTCTCCATTTTTTGTATGAGGAAACCTACCATAATTGTGCCTGAGAAGTTAAAAAAAAAAAAGAGCAATTCGCCTGGCTGGCATGGCTCAGTGGTCAGTTCAATTCCGGTGAAGGCACATGCCCGGGGTTGCAAGTTGATCCCATGTCGGGGGCCATGCAGGAGGCAGCCAACCAATGATTCTCTCATCACTGATTTTTTTTCTCTCTCCCTCCCTCTTCCTTCCCTCTCTGAAATCAATTAAAAATATATATATTTCTAAAAAGCAATTTGCCCTTTTTAATTATTTTGCATGCTTCTTATCAACACAATTGAAAATCACCATTTGTAGTAGGTGAAGGCCAACTTTAAATTCCAGTCCACCAGCATGCGGGACCTCGAGCAGCACACTTATGTTTCCTCGCTTGAAAAGCAGTGCAAACAGAACCTACCGCATACGATTCTGAGGCCTTAATAAGCGTATTGGAGTGAGGTACTCAGAACAGTGTCTATGAGGTTTTCAAGGCACAAAAAATTGGTAGCTATACTAGCTTTGGCTGTACAGGTGGGAAAACCCATGAGCTTCTGGGGGTCCAAGCCGAACGTTTGGACCCAAACAAGCCAATGACCAGCTGGACTCCAGGAGCTCACACTAGGGTGTAGCTGAAGGCCAAAGAGGAGGCTTCCCCAGGCGCACCTGCTGAGACACTCAACCCAAGAAGGTTCTCCTTCACGGTCCTTGGCACAGGTTCGGTACCATCATTCCACACTAACGGCCTCTGACGAGAGCCCCACTGCATTCATTCATTTATTAAATATTTATTGAAGGCCTGCTTTCTCGTGCAATAAGCTTTAAATACCACAAATAAAAAAACCAACAGAGAACCACACTCCCCCCCACCCTCCCGTCCCCCAGGCTTCAAACTGACATGGGCAAATACTAGCAATACTTATCAAAATATAAAAGTGTTAAATAATAAAAGCGTTATACCTGTCTCGAATTGAATGGAAATCACAAATCGCCTATCACAATTTTAAGTCTTAATTACTGAGACCATACACTATGTGACAATGATAAGTACACTTTGGGGTCCCAGGAGCTGGGAGTCAGTCCCACACGGGAAGCATTTGGTGTAGGTGGAGAGAAGGGGAACAGCCGCTCAGTCCCACTGGATCGTTCGCTCTTCCTCAGGGAGCACACTCCAGTTGGGGGAGGCCATGTCCCGAGCCAACCAGTTGAAATCGTCGACATCGTCCCAGTTATTTTTGCTCCTATCTAAGCCAGAGCTCTCGAAGTCTCGGTCGATCCCCGGGTAGCTCCAGGTGTAAGGGGCGAACTGGATCCCGTGGCAGTCCTCCACGATGGCCCTGCAGGTCACCTGCAGGAAGATGCGGGTGTCCCTCGTCGTGTGTACGCGGAGCTGCTGGCAGGCCACGGCCAGCACGCACTCGCTGCAGTCATCCAGGAACACAGACGTGGACACCGGGCCGCAGAGCAGCGTGCAGCCGCGGGCCTTGCTCAGCCGCAGGGTGTTGGGGTTGCCGTACAGCTTGATCGTGCAATTGCTCAGCTCGGTCAAAAGGACGTCTCGCTGGTGCAACTCCTCCGCTCTCTTCTCCAAGACCTGGGACTTGAGGTTGGAGAAGCCGCAGAGCCAGCTAGAGCCTGCGGCTCCGTCCTCGGTCACGGAGGGCGGGGAGGCCTGGATGCTTCCCGCCGCCGCGGCGCCGGGAGCCGCATCCGCTCCTTGCGGGGCCAAAGCGGCATCCTTCCTCCGGGTCTTGAAGGCGAACCGCTTCTTGGGCTGCAGCTGCTGGCGCCGGTCGGCCAGGGCCGCCTGCAGCTGCGCCAGCGCCTCCTGGGCCTGCCGCACCTCGTAGGCGGCCAGGAACAGCACCGAGTCGTTGAGCAGCTTCTGGAGCCCCTGGAGCCGGGCGGCCGCCTCCTCCAGCCGCTCGGTGGACTCCCCGCCCTGCAGCAGCTCTTCCACGGCGGCTCGCTCGCGGGCGAAGGCGGCCGTGAAGAAGTCGCTCTTCTCCTCCACCACCTCCTGGTCCTGCCGCTTTTGCTTGCGCTTTTCCGCCTCCAGTTGCCTCTCCTGATCTCGCCTCTGAAGCCGCTCGGGCAGCAGGCTCCGCTCCCGCTGGGACCCCGCGTCCCCGTTCCCGACCGCGGCCGCGGAGCAATGAGCCGTCTCCATCTTGGCGGCGAGCTTCCTCGCTCCGGCCTTCCTGCCTCCGGGCGCGCCCTCCGCGAGGCGTCCCACCAACGCGCCCTCTGATTGGCCAGACGCGATGACGTCAGAGGACCGGCCTTATCTCCTCGGCCCATTGGCTCCTCCACCCCGAGGGGCGGGGCCGGCTGACAAAGAGGGTGGAGAGACAAAGGTCCTGGTGGATGGGTGGGGCGGGAGGCAGGAGGGGAAAGCTTTTTTTTTTTTTTCCTCTTAAAGGGGCAGGACTTATATCCGGGATTGTGGGGTGAGTTGCAGCAGCGGCAGCTGCACATGTGGGTTTGTTTATAAGAACAAGGTTAGACACTCGCAGCCCTCCTCCTCCCCCCCAGCTCCTCCCTACCTTCCCCTGACAGGCCGGAGATCCGCTCCTGGTGGGGGGACTGTGCGCGTGTGGCGGGTGGGGGGACAGGCAGTGGGAAGGAAGATGGAGGGGGGGGGAGGATAGTGCACCGCCCGGCCCGCGTCGGAGGAAGCGGCCGCTGGAACAGCTGGCTAGGGAGCCACTTGCTTGCCTCTGGTTTTTTCTTTTCCACCACCCCTTCCCCCAACCCATTCCTGCCGCCCCCAAACCCTGATCCTACCCCCTCCCCCCTCCAGCCGCAGCCTCTGCAGATCGGCGTGGCCCGGGGCTCCAGGGTCCCCGCAGGCAGTTACGGGGGCGGGAGAAGGCGGAGGCCACCTGGATGGGAGAGACTGGGTTCCTCGTTGCTGCGGGGTTCGGGGGGCTCTGGGGGGCCTAACCTCGAATTACTGCGTTTTTGGCCAATTGCGGCAGTCGGCGGGCGGGGGCGGGAGGGTGAGACTCCACACCCCCTTCCTCTTCCTCCCCCTGGTTCTCCCACCCACCCCCCCACGGCTGTCACCCCTCCGCCGCTGGGCGGGACGGGCGGGACCCCCGCCCGGGCTCTGCGGTGGCCCCGGGCTGTCAGCCTGGGAGGGCGGCGGGGATGTCACATTTCTCCCGGAGGAGGAGGGAGGGGTTTGCCACCGGAAGTGGAGGAGCCTCGCCCGCCGCCGCCAGCCCGGGTGCGAGCGGGCCGCCCCGCGGCGCCGTCCCCGGCCGGACCCGGGCGGCCCGGAGCCCGGAGCCCGGAGCCCGGAGCCCGGAGGGGCCGGGGCGGCCGGCGGGGCGCAGGCTCCGGGACCCGGGCCGCCCTCCAGGCTCGGGTTCCCCGTATCTCCCTCCCCGAACTCACACTCCGGCCTCCCCGGCTGTCATCGGGGATTTAACGCCCAGGAACTGTCCCCGGCTTCTCCCCGCTCCGCCTGCGTAGTCCCGCGGAGGAGGTGGGGGGAGAGGAGGGAATTGAGACATTTCCAATGTCTAACGCCGCACTGTCCTCCTTTCCTCCCCATTTAAACAAAACAAAGACAGCACGCATACATGTCTGTGTCTCCACTGACCCTCAGTGGGGGCTACCCGTGGGCAGATCCCGCGCGGGGGGTAGGGGTGAGGGGAGTGGGTTGGGGTGAGGGGGGGAGTGGAGAGGTGAGGGGGTGGAGGGGTGGGGGTGAGGGGGGGTGCTGGGGGTGAGGGTGGGGGTGGGGTTGGGGGTGAGGGTGCTGGGGGTGAGGGTGGGGGTGAGGGAGCTGGGGGTGAGGGTGGGGTGCTGTCCGCGTGTCCCTGCCCCGGTGCAGGTGCAGCTGGAAAATGCCCGTGCTTCCGCTGATGCATGCTGCTGTTCTTTGTTGTCATTGGCTTTGCTCCTGGACGAGATAAATGCGGCTCTTGGTGTTCTGTGCGGTGTGTTTTTGAGGCCGCTGGATGAAATCTAGCTGTTTATCTTGTCTCCGTCACACGAAGGAATGACTTGGCTGCTTTCTTTTAAGAAGAGTTGATTTAACCACGGAAGGTTTAGGGAAGACTTATTTTGCTGGGGGATGCGGGGAGGGAACCCCTGATCTGTCTCTCTCTTAAGTTTTCAGCAACTGGCTCTGTCTCGTAGAAATGAAGAAAGATGGTAGCCAAGCAAGGGTTATTGGACGGGGGCGTTACTGCTGGCTGGGCCAGGCAGCATGTCCGCTTTAGCCCAGTACATGTGAGTGGTGGTTAGTGTCGTCTGTATCAGCAGGCGATTGAATGTCATTAAACTCTTGCAGGAATTTCATTTCTTCCCGACACCCGATTTTGGCAGAGCCCAGTGGACATGGGAAGTTTCTGAATATTTGGAAGGTGGCTAGTTCTAAGTTTTATGAGAAAGAAGCGGTAAAGGGCAGACACGGGCAGGCCACCTGGCTGGCCCAGTGTGTCAGAGAGGGATGCAAAGCCGAGGGACAAGGGCCCCGGGTGTGGTCTTAAAGCACAGGCGTGGCAGTGTTTTACAGCCCCTGCAAACAGCCCGGAAGGCATGGATGTACAGCCCGGTGAAGGCGTGGATGCAGAGCTACATGCCTGGGTCCGAAAGCAGCCGGAAGGCTGAGAACTCTCTGGCCTGGCCCGAGGGTATGGGTATCTTCCTGCTGTTTGAGGGCAGGCAGGTCGGTGCATCCTTGAAACAGACGCAGCGCCTGTTGTGAGGGGGCAAAGAGGCGAGCCCTACAACAGACAAAGGCAAGCAGCCGGGAGCTCTGAGGCCTTTTTTCCAAGATATCTCACAAGGCTTGTGAATCAAAGCACTGCTCTCTTTTAGACATTTTTAAAAGTGTAAAACTTCTAAGTTGTTACAGACGTTAAAGATCACTTTAAAAGGAAGGTCCTTTGGGGTTCTAATAGTTATATTAGCTCTCAACCATTGACAACTGACAATCTTCTTCCTTCTAAAACCCTGGCCTCTTTCCCACCCCACTTCACTCTGATTATTTTATAGCAAATCCCATCCATTGTATTCCTTCATATTTCACAATCCATCAGTATTTCAATTATATCTCAAAGAGATTAGGACTACCCTTTTAAAACCTTACCCCAATATTATCAACTATCACCAAACTCCAAAAAAAAGTGGTGAAATAGCCTTATTATCATCAGAGTTCCAGTCGATATTCACATTGCTCTGATTGTCCTATAATTTCCTTTTCAAGTTATTCTATTTAAATAAAGATCCAAACAATCCCTTACAATTGTCTAGTTAATATGTCCCTTAAATCACTTAAACTACTTCCCCCCTCAATTATTTTGTTGGAAGAAACCTGGTCATTTGTTCAGTTAAGTTTCTGATAGTCTGTATTTTGCTGGCTGCATCTCCATACTGTGTTTGTTAGATATTAAATATTTGTCATATGTATTGACCTTCTAATGTCAAAAGTGAGTGTTTATGTACTGATATACCGCAGGAAATCAGCAACCAAGTAGTGAAAGCATTTAAGCGCAATAAAACGGCCGTTGGCTGTGGCGATACAGCAGAGAACAGGCCTTTTGCTGCTCTGTGGAGTTCGCCAGGGACCAGTGACGTGGAAGATGCCAGGCACACGTGGGCACAATGAGACAGATCCAGACCCTGGATTCTGGTAGCTCGATGCCTGGAAGAGGCGTCAGCCATAGTGGATAGAAAGCCTTCACTGCAGAGCTCTGTATGCTAACTATTGGATGGTAGGCAGATATTCCCACCCCGGTCGCTGACCTTTCAGACAGCTGTGGGGTGTGTGTTCTTTGTAAAAAGGCTCCAGATTGGTCTGGAAGCAGGACGGGAGCAGCCCTTCCTCCCACCCTCCCCTGGCTCTCCTCCTCTCCTCCACCTTCACTTTTTGGAACCTTCTTCATTATCAGACACCTGAAGCCTAGCACAGACTGGCACCGACTGTTTATCTAACATCCCTTTACTTAGCACCTGCTGTGTCCCGCACTGGCCAGTGAGGCCCTCGCTGCCAAGGCCAATAAAGACAGACGTACTCACTGTCTTTGAGGAGGCCTGGAATACTGGCACAAACGGGACATTTTTTAACAGTGACAACTAAGAACTGTTACAGAGGCAGGAGGAACAGAGAGTGCCCCGGTGGGTGGTTTGACCTTGTTCGGAGGTCAGTGAGAGCTTCCCAGCAGGGCTGGGAGGGTGAGAAGGAATGAACAGGAAGTGAGTGAGTGTCTCCCGGGCTCACTGGGACTTCATGGAGAGCTGTGTCAGGGGAGAGCAGTGGCCGGAGACAGGCTGCAGGGGCGGCAGGAGGGGTGGGAGCTGGTAACGGAGCTGATAGATAACTCTTTGGAGAAGTTTGGCTGGGAAGGGGAAGGGAGAGGAACTTGGGGTTGGGAGGAGGCCACTGAGGTGTGTTTGATTTTTACAGAAAGAGAAGGCTTAAAGTCCAGAATATAAGGGTCCTAAAAAGGTTAGTGGGGGACCTAAAACAAGAATTAGCTGAGGAGCCCTCACCGGTTCGGCTCAGTGGATAGAGCGTCGGCCTGCAGACTGAAAGGTCCCAGGTTCGATTCTGGTCAAGGGTATGTATCTTGGTTGCAGGCACATCCCCAGGTGGGGGTTTGCAAGAGGCAGCTGATCGATGTTTCTCGATGTTTCTAACTCTCTATCCCTCTCCTTTCCTCAATAAAATATTTATTAAAAAAAAAAAAAGATTTAGCTGAGAGCAGGAGGAGGGACAGCCTTTCTATTGCAGTGTTAGCCCCTTATCATCTGACTTCCACCCCTGCCACTTTATTTGAAACAAATTGCTTTGTCATCGCCATTCCCTCCTACTCAGATCCATTGCTCTTTGTAACTGTAAGCTCTCCATCCTCCCTTCTCAAAGCAAAGCTCCCTGTTCTGTCTTATTCTCTGTCCATGCTTGATCATTACTTCTTGTCTCCATTACAGACGTCTCTCCATCCACCCCTTAAACATCTACGAGGCCAGAACTCTATCCTGGCACTCTTTTCTTGTTCCTGTCACCTCCTTTGAAAAGCTTAGCTTCTCCCCGGACACCAAGTCTTGTCCGATGCTGACTGACTCTTGAACCTCTATCTCCTCCCTCCACCTGTTTCCTGAGCCCAAACTTGAACTTCCAACACCTTCCGAGTTATTTCTATTTAGTGACCTAGATGCACATAACTGCGTACTATCCATGTAGTGATCTGCTATCCACCTGCCTCCTGGTTGAGATGGAGGCCCTGAAATGAAGCCCTTACCGCCCCAGTAATGTCCTTTTTCTTCTCTACACAAGTTCACTGCTGTGTAGCGAACCGACCCACACTTACC